CCTTATAAGGAAGAATACTTTACATGTTATGTGAGGTTCCTAAGCAAATAGTAGTAAGGGTTTAGGGGCATTTAGGGAGTTTAGGGGCTTGTCAAGGATGAAGACTCGTACCCCGAAGGTTGTACCCCGAAAGGTTCCCCTTACTGTACTCCTAATATGGCCCTTCTATTCCCCTGGGATCTTGAAAAAGGGCCCTTCTATTCCCCTGGGATCTTGAAGAAGGGTCCCGAAAACCCAAGGGTAAATAACCCTAAGGTTCCCCTTAATGTCTAATGTACTCCTGATATGGCCCTTCTATTCCCCTCAAATCTTGAAAAAGGGTCCCGAAAACCCAGGGGTATAACCCCAAGGGTCCAAAGTATAAGCCATAGAGCTTGGGTCCTTAGGTGTTTTGGGGTTCCGAGTGTAGGATGCTGAAACCCTGCCCCAACCCCACCCACCTCACTCTTGCCCATGCAGACTCGGAGGCCCTAATGTTAAAGGTTTAGGGCTTAGGGTTTAGGGCTTAGGGTTTAGGGCTTAGGGTTTAGGGCTTAGGGTTTAGGGTTCAGGGTAACCGCAGTTCTTCGCGGAACGCCGCTAGAGGACGCGCCCTTGCAACGATAGAATAGGCAGCTTTGCCCAGAACCTGCCTGCGAAGCGGGTGGGTGAACGCAACCACGTGGTCTCAGGAGCAACACCACAGCTCCAAGAAATTAGGAAGCCTTGTGTTTCTTGAAGGTTTAGCGTCCGACCCCTCTGCCCTGTGCGCCTGTGGACCCCTTTCCGGGGGGGCGTTGGTTTAGAGGCTTACGGGTTTGAACGTTTGTTGTGGGATTGCCCCAGGTTGTATGTCCAGGTTTCATGGTTTCGGGTACTAGGGTAAGGTTTTTGGATATCGGGTACAGGCTTTGCCCGGGGTTTGGGGGGTTGTTGGGGTTAGGTGTGGTGGGGTGTGCAGGGGTGTTCTAGAGGTGGAGGGGTGGGTGGGGGTGGGGAGATACCCTGCAAGTCATGGCACCATGTCAAGGGTTTGCAGGGTTTCTGTTTTTGGCTTGCTGTAGGGGTCGGAATAAGTACTAATAGTATTCCCTCATGGTCCCTTTATCATGAATACTCTACTAAACCCAGAGACCCTATTCTAATTATTTAGGCCCCTGATATTATTGGGTTCGCAGCGGTTTGCAGGGCTTATAGGGATTAAGGGGCGGTTTAGGGTTTAGGGTTTAGGACTCAGGGTTCGCGCGAGACCACATGGCCCAAGAGAGCACTTTAACTAGAAGCTCTAGCCTCCCGAGCAGCTGGCTTAGGAAACCCTAAACAACCCTAAACAACCCTAAACAACCCTAAACAACCCTAGACAACCCTAAACAACCCTAAACAACCCTAAACAACCCTCAACCCTAAACCCTAAAACCTAAACTGATTGGGATCTTAAGCGCCCTCAGGCGCCCAACCCTGAACAATCCTCTAAAGCCCGAGCCTGTTAAGATTCGGGTTTTTGAAGACAGGAAGCCGTAAACCCTAAACCCCAAACCCTAATCCCTAAACCCTTAACCCTAAACCCTAAACCCCTCTGCTCCGTGTGCCGGCGCGTTCGGGAGGCCGTGGAACCCCCACTGAGGCCCTACGGCCCCCCAAACACCTCAGGACAAGGTGGCCTCAGAAGGTTTAGGGTTTAGGGTTTAGGGTTTGGGGTTTGGGGTTCAGGGTTTAGGGTTTCGGGTTCAGGGTTTAGGGTTTAGGGTTTCGCCAAAACCTCAACAAAGAAACGAGAAAGGAGCATTAAAGGTTTCAAAACCCCTGCCGGGGCTATGTCTAAAATCCTAAGGCGGCCTCAATCAGCTGGTGGTTTCGAGTAGGGAAGGAGGTTTAGGGTTTAGGGTTTAGGGTTTAGGGTTTAGGGTTTAGGGTTTAGGGTTTAGGGTTTAGGGTTTAGGGTTTAGGGTTTAGGGTTTAGGGTTTAGGCCTGCTCCTTAAGGATATCGGTGGGTGTACATTTGGCATGTGGAGATACTAGGAGTAAAGCCCCGCTTCATATGAAACAGGGTTTATCTTAGTGTTATTGGTGAGTGTATGTAGGTTTCCTTCTGAAGACTGGTGAGTGCACATGATTGATGCGAGCAAGCACAACCATACTTCGTATGTCTAAGTCTCTGACTTATGGTGCCTTGTCGGGTGCAGTCCCTAAACCCTAGACCCTAAACCCTACACTCTAAACCGATCCTCAACATGTGAACAAGCCAAAGATCTGAAGAGCTGACCTGCAAACGTAAAGCCTTCCATTCAACGGGACTTCTCGAGTGAGGGCACCAGAAAGGGTTTAGGGTTTAGGGTTTAGGGGTTTTTAGGGTTTTCCTATCTAAGGTAGGGTGTAAAGTACAATTTAGTGTTCAGTGCTTAGGAACACGAACCCTGCTAAACTGCTCGAACCAGCTTAGCAAAACACGAGGGCCCACTGGGGTCTCCACAAAGTTCCACAGAGCCGCCTCCATGTGAGCAGCACCTCGAGTTTCACCATCAGAATGGTTATCATCGAGTGGTTGTTTTCGGAGAAACAAAGCCAAAACACCGCTTGGCCACAGGTTGAGTAGACTTCCTAAATCCTAAACCCTAAACCCTAAACCCTAAACCCTGAACCCTGAACCCTGAACCCTGAACCCTGAACCCTGAACCCTGAACCCTGAACCCTGAACCCTGAACCCTGAACCCTGAACCCTAAACCCTAAACCCTAAACCCAACCTTCTTTGGTTTTTTTTAACCTCCTGAAACCCCAACGCATGACCTCCTTACTACCCTAGAACCTGCACGTTCCAAAACACTTCCTTAAAACCTCAAACCCGAGACGACACAGCGAAAGTTGATGGGTATAGGGTTTCGGGCTGATAGGTTCCAGTCAGGGCACAGGGTAGGATTGTGGGTTCAGGGTTTGGGGTTTCAGCCTAAACCCTAAACCCTGAAAGGCCACTGCACCCCACGGGGAAGAGCAAAAACAGCCTAAACCCTAGGCCCAAATTATACCCCAAACCCTAAACCTTCCCTAAACCCTAAACCCTAAACCCTAAACCCTAAACCCTAAACCCTAAACCCCTAAACCCCCAGCCCTCAACCTTCTGTGCCCGAAGCGTGCAAGGGAAGGCTTCGCAGCCCAGTGGTACCCTTTACCCTCTTTTTTTGGTTCTGTGTTCCCTTCTAAAGTAACCAACTCAAAAGCAAGTGCCCTCATTCTACGTAGCATGGTTACTAGGCCCAAATTATACCCCAAACCCTAAACCTTCCCTAAACCCTAAACCCTAAACCCTAAACCCTAAACCCTAAACCCTAAACCCTAAACCCTAAACCCTAGACCCTGGACCCTAACATGGCTACTGGGCTCGCAAGAAGGTGTCGCGTGACTCCAGCTGGCTGCCTCGCCTTCGACACACAACGCGCCTGCGACAACTGTGACAAGCCGATCGAGGAGCTTGCTCAGATCACTGAAGGGTTTAGGGTTTAAGGAAAAGGGTTTAGTGTTTAGGGTTTAGGGTTTAGGGTAATATAGGTAGTTCTCTAAACTAGGGTCCCTTTGGCGCATAGGGTGTAGGGTGCAGGGCAAGGGTTTAGGGTGCAGAAAAAGGAGGGAAAAACGAGGGGGAAAAAGATGATAATGCAACTAAAGATGTATTTGTTGAAGAAATGGGCGTATTTCATGCTGATGCTACCGAAAGATCAACTAACTTCTTCAGTTATGTAATGTATGTTTGAAATATATGCTTAACAACGGAGAAATGGCAACATGATTGCATTTCTTCTGTTTTGTTTGAATACATAGGCCTAAGGTTGAGAATTAGGGCCTAGGGTGTAGAATTCAGGGTCAGGGCTAGGGTTCCTGGGTTTAGGGTTTGGGCCAAGGTTTAGGGCCAGGGTTTAGGGCTAGGGTTTAGGGTTCAGGGTGCAGAGTTCAGGGCCTCGGATTCAGGGTTCAGGGCATGAACTTTAAGGTTCAGGCAAGGCCTGGGGTTTAGGGTTTAGGGTTCAGGGTTCAGGGTTCAGGGTCTCGGATTGAGGGTTTAGGGTTTATGTGCTGTTTTGTTGTTGTTATTTGCCTTGTCGTGTGTAAAGAAAAGTTATAACCCTTATCTTCTCTTAATGTTACGGGACTCTTCGGGTGGGTGGGTGGGTATTTCTCCACTGAACGAATAAATTTGCTGGCCTAGTGAAAGCACTCTAAGCCTACCTAGAGTTTAGGGGTCTGGGCTTTGGGATCTCTAATGTTGAGGTAAGCGCTGGAACAAATCCTGCGGGAGGGGGCGGGGGGGGGTTGCTAAAGTTTAGGGTTCAGGGTTTTGGGTTCATTGACATTACCCGAACATGAAGCCCCACCCCTCCTTGCACCACAAGAGGAGCGCACCTGGTACGCTTGCGCAGACGGATGCCAGGCGCGCAGCCTTCTTGATTTCCCGCATGGCCTCTGTGTCGACAGTCAACGGATGCCCGTGCATTGCAAGTCCTACAGGTTGGTAGTTTAGGGTTTAGGGTTTAGGGTTTAGGGTTTAGGGTTTAGGGTTTGGGGTTTGGGGTTTGGGGTTTGGGGTTTGGGGTTTGGGGTTTGGGGTTGGGGTTTTAGGGTTCAAGGAGTTGAAGAAGTAGCACCCAGAGCTTTGATGGCTTGCATCATTCTTTCTATTTAGTAACCCTAAACCCCGGCACCCTCCCAAAGCAGCGGTGCAAGAAAAATCTGTAGGGATTCGCGAGTCTCCGCGCCCGTCGTGCCCTGTCGAGAAGTAGCGTTGTTTTTACCCTCAGGGTCCATGTACCTATGGAGTTGGGCCCCAAAGTCCTTATATAGCAATATTCCCTACTGAGGTACATGGACCCTTAGGAGTATACGCCTCGGCCCTAACGCGACTATATGGGACCCTTTTCGGACCCAAGTATACACCATATAGGTACATGGGCCTTTAGGGTTCAAAAGCTCTGTACGGTCACTGTTGGTAAGTGGAAAGTTGCTATCAGTGGTGCCGTTCATTCTGCGGGAGCCATGTCTACGGACACTTCGAACAACGAGGGTGTGGAGCTAGCCTCAAGGCACATTGCGGGGCAAGCTGCGCAGATGTTGCTCCGCGCTGCAAGCGATGAGCTCCCAGCGCCGCCCGTGCGTAGAAGGACCACTCTTGCAGGGTTGAGGCGGGACTTACACAAGCTGGAAGCAGAGCAACCAATGTGGCGACGCCAAGCAACCCGGGCTTTGTTGCTTTACACTGTTGCGCGGATGGTTGCCAACTTTGCCATGCCTGCGTTGGTTCGCTTTGCCAGATCTGCTGAGACATACTTTTCGGTATACGGTGACTTCCAGGTTGCCTGCGATGCGATTCTGAGACCCTTGGTAACAGGCCTTGGGCTATATGTGTTTGTCCACAGGATGGATCGTTTCTCTATCAAAAACAAGCTTCATGTTTGGAGTTTGCTCACAATCTGCTGCCTCGCGCTACCCGCGTGTGACGAGAGCATTGAGCAACTGCAACGGAATATGGGATACTATTTCTTTCCGAACGTTTGCATGGCTTTGTGGCAGGTCTTGTGCAACGTCCTACAGGTGTACATGACGTCTCTCAAGCTGCAAGCCCTCGGTTGGTCTCGGGTAGCCAGGTGCAGTAATGCGTTGGCGGCGCTTGGCGTTGGATTGCTTATGGTCTCTTTGTTCCTCTTTTGGCTGGAGCGGCTACCTATAATGCCGGAATTCGCTGTTGATCTAGTGCGAAAAAGCTGCTTTTGGGTTTGCCTTCGCTGCAGCTTTGTCGTTTTGAGCTGTCAGTGCTATGCGTTATGTCGTGCGGCGGGCAGAGCTATGACGCAAGCAGCAGGGAACGATGCTATCAAGTGGACGGCAGCCCTCCTCTATGCAAATTGCTGCCTAGTGCTTCTAGGCCCTTTCTTGAGCTTCAGCAGCCTGTACGTCTATTCAATGCATGTGTTTGAGAAGCTACCCAGGCTACTGGTGACCCTTGACGTCTCTTTCCAGGTCTGCAATGTGGTCTTTCTCAGTGGCATGGTGGGCACGATGCCCATGAATCTGGAGGCTTTCCAGAGACTTGCAGAGTTGTCAGGATTTGGTTTGGCTTCCGCGCGTGTGGCATTTCCAGGGCACATCAGCCACAGTGCCCGGGACTGCATCGTCTCCTTCCCGGGAAAATACAGCGAGTCTTGGGACAAGGCAGTCTCCAGCGTAACGCAAAAGGACATGTTTTCACTCGCCTGCGTTTTCTTAACGGACGCCGCCTCTGGTCTTGGTCAGCACGCTTACACCTCGGAGACACGGGGCCACTGCTGGTGCCATCAAATCTATGGCCAGGTGCCCGCAACCACGTACCTCAGCGTGGTAGAGATGGGTAGTGACGATCAGCAGAACAGCCAGCAGACCCTTTCTTTCAAAAAAGCGGATGCAGATGCTATGGGCCAAAGACTACTCGTCAGAGAGGACCAGGGAGACCTGGAATGGGAGCAGGAGTGCGCAGAAGCCCTGCTAGATGCCGAGGCCCGCTGCGCTGAGAACCAGTACCGGGCTCCCTGGGGATGCCAGTGGTTTGAAGCGTGGAAGAAGAACGTTGACAGAGCCAGGGAACAAGGGCAAGTGCTTCATGTCTTTTACTTCAAGGACAGCAAAGGCAAAGGCAAGATGTCTTGGGAGCAGCTTTGCGACGAGAAGGCCAAGCAGGATGCTCGAAAGGACAGCGGCTTGGGCGTGTCCCAGACAGCAGAGGTAGCCTATCTCGACAAGATTGGACTGCGCTACGAGGAGCACGGCATCGAGGAGTTCGAAGCGTTCCTGAGGTCACATGCCGACCCGGCCTGAGGGTTTTCTGGGTTAGGGCTTATGTTTTCAGGGTTGGTCAATAGCATTGTGGTTGCCTTGGTTGTGAATAAGTGTCAGGACATCGACCAATGATCAACATGCAGTATGCGTCATGAAATCGGTGGTAAGAACAACAGCAGTCACGTTAATTACTCACTAGGGTTTCAGGGCGAAGGGCGGGTAGACTCAAGTCGCCACAGCCTATCTGAATCTGCAGGGCCCGGGGCTAAGCATTTCGGATATTATCGTCTATGTTTACTCCCTTCACAATTGACAGAATGAATAGCAAGCAGGTTCTTCGTAGTAGTGATAGCAGTCATACTGATAGATTACAAAGTGGGAAGAGCAAGAAGTAGTACAAGTGAGAGTACTTAGACGTGATAGGTAGACAGCTTACGTTGGGACAAGCAGGTTGCTACGAGGTGCATGCCATGAATCCCTAGCTTGCTCTGACTCTTCAGACTTCAGACGGGGACACTCGCAAGCGCTTCTGGGACCTCGCAAAGTCATGGTTTGTATGAGCACTTACCATAGCACAAAAAAAACAACATGTAATTACATGAGCGAGGAATAATGTCGGTAGTTGCAGCAAGAATAAGAGCCTCAGCAGCAACACCGGCAACACCAAGTGCAACAGTGAACCCCAACCACCGTTTAAACTACCGAGCTTTCTGCCCTTCCCATGCGCGTAGGATGTTGGAAGGAACCCAGGTGCTGATTGCGGTTTGGGGCTTTGGGTTTTGGGGCTTAGGGCCGCGGATTTGGGGTGTAGCTTTGAAGTCTAAAGCGAAAGCCGGCTAATCCCAAAACCTACCCCAGACCAAACCCCCCGCAAATCCACCCGAAGGCCTATGCCTTAAACCTGAAAGGGTGTGGAGGGCGGGTGGGGATTCCTATCTTGCCGGACAGCGCTCGCCCTCAACCCTATCAACCCTGTAAGCCCTAGGAGCCCTATACATCCTGCACCCTACAAAGCCCCTAAACCCTAAACCCTAAACCCTAAACCCTAAACCCTAAACCCTAAACCCTAAACCCTAAACCCTAAACCCTAAACCCTAAACCCTAAACCCTAAACCCTAAACTTATCAACGCACGACTGCTGCTTCTAAGGGTTTGGGGCTTCGGGGCCCCCTTCCGTGGTTCAGCTGTACCATGGCAAGGTCGACTTCTGTACCCGCTGCCACAAGCGGTACCAACAGCTCTTTGCTGGCCGCCAGCTGCCTTCACTTTCTGGAGTTTTAGGGCTTAAGGGCTCAAGGGCTTAAGGGCTTAAGGGCTTAGGGGCTTAAGGGCTTAAGGGCTTAGGGGCTTAAGGGCTTAAGGGCTTAAGGGGCTTAAGGCGGTTTGGGCTTTGGACTTTGCTTTAGGCAGATAGGCATCACAGCCGGCCAGCGAGTCGGCACAATATTTGATTGCCAGCCCCGGTTGAAAAGCCCATCATATTGTACTCATTCCCCCTAAGCTTCAAACCCCAAACCCTAAAACCTAAAACCTGAACCCTAAACCCCTAATATTTTCTGCTATGCTCATACGTACCTACTGACTAACACTACAAGCCCATACTCTGACCCTAATCCGCCTAAACCCCCAAAAGCCCCAAGCCTCTAATCTAAACTCTACACCTTTCAACCCTGAACCACCCCCTACACCTTGAACATCTACTAAAACCTCTACATCCCATACACCCTACAGAAATCTTTAAAACCGATAAACCCTATAAACCCGATAAACCTGCAAACCCTACAAATCCCAAACCCCAATAAACCCTAAAAACCCTATAAAGACTACAAACCCCATAAACCGTGAAAACCCTGCAAACCCTATGAACCCTTAAAACCTGTAAGCCCTGTAGACCCTAAAACCACTCTAACCCTCGAAACCCTATACAAGCCCTAGACAAACCCTTTTCAAGCCCTGTACAAACCCTATACAAACCCTATGCAACACCTACACAAATCCTACTAGACCCCCTAAACCCTAAACCCTAAACCCTAAACCCTAAACCCTAAACCCTAAACCCTAAACCCTAAACCCTAAACCCTAAACCCTAAACCCTAAACCCCCAAAGCCCTATCAACCCTCGAGGCGACCCGGCAGCCTCTCTTCGCGCCGCCGACCTCGTGGCCAAGGCGGCGGCCGCCGCCATGTCGGCCAGCGCGGCCTCGCGGAGGGCGCGCTTAGGGTTTAGGGCTTAGGGTTTAGGGTTTAGGGTTTAGGGTTTAGGGTTTAGGGTTTAGGGTTTCAGGTTTCAGGGTTTTGGGTTTCAGGTTTCAGGGTTTTGGGTTTTGGGTTTCGGGTTGAGGCTCTTTTTTGGGGATTTAGGGGGCCGGGCTTTTGGGGTTCTGGGGTTTTGGGGTTTAGGCTTGAGGACCGACGCGAAACCCTAAGGCCTAGCCCACCCTGCATTCCCTACTTGAACCCTTATAAACCCTTAAGCCCTACTTAAACCCTTATTGTTTGGGGCCCTACGTTTTGACGGGCTAAGCCCCAAGACCGAGCCCTATAGCCGAACCCCAGGGTTTAGAGTTTAGGGCTGGGGGAACCCTCAAGTTTTGGGGCTTGAGGCCATGTTGGCTCAGAAAAATTGGCCTTGCTCCCTAAACCCTAAACCCTAAGCCCGAAGCCCGAAGCCCGAAGCCCTAAGCCCTAAGCCCTAAACCCTAAACCCTAAACCGAAACAGCTGCAGGCCTTGGTGGAAATCTTTGCCTTCCAGTGGCCTCATCAGATGTTCCAGGACCTCCCAAACCCTAAACCCGAAACCCTAAACCCTAAACCCTAGACCCTAGACCCTAAACCCTAAGCCCTAAGCCCTAAGCCCTAAGCCCTAAGCCCTAAGCCCTAAGCCCTAAGCCCTAAGCCCTAAGCCCTAAGCCCTAAGCCCTAAGCCCTAAGCCCTAAGCCCTAAACCCTAAACCCTAAACCCTAAACCCAACCTCGCGGCCAGGTGCGTGTGGACCAACGGACCCTACCAACCCCCCAAAGCCCGGCAGTACCCTGCAATTCCCGTGGGCCCCATAAGCTGCGTAGCCCCTAAACCCCATTTGCAAGAGAGAGAGAGAGAGAGAGAGAGAAGGAGAAGGAGAAGGAGAAGAGAGAGAGAGAGAGAGAGCGCGAGCGAGAGAGAAAGTCTAAGAGAAGGGCAGACCAATAAAACAGTTCAACAGCCCAAGGCTCAGGAACGCACATTTTTGCGGCCCTGGCAAGTGGCCTTTCGGCCAGACTTTGCGATTCCGGGCATATGGTCGACCCTGAAATCGCGAAGCTGTTGTTGGAGCTCATCTTAGCCGAGGGGCCCTAAACCCCAAACCCTAACCGCTAGACTCGTAAACCCTAAACCCCTACACCCCGAAACCCTAAACACTAAACCCTAAACCCTAAACCCTAAACCCTAAACCCTAAACCCTAAACTGTAAACCCTAAACCCCAAACGGATGAACTGAGCCCTCCACGTAGGAGCTCGTGCGCGCAACCGCCGACGTGGCCAACGCCAAGGTGGTGCATGTTGAGGCCAGGTTGCTTGGTGTTTAGGGCTTAGGGCCAGTTTAGGGTTTAGGGTTTAGGGTTTAGGGCTTAGGGTTTAGGGCTTAGGGTTTAGGGTTTAGGGTTTAGGGTTTAGGTTTTAGGGTATAGGGTTTAGGGTTTAGGGTTTAGGGTTTAGGGTACCCTGAACCCGTGATCCCCAACCTTGGCTCAACGCCCCGAAATCTGCTGAGGTTTAAGGGTTTTGCTGCTTGCGGATTTAGAGCTTCAACGGTCACAGGAGTTCATGAGGTGTGGAATCTAAAGTGATCATTTTCCCACGGCCTAACCCTAAACCCCAAAAAACCTCAAACCCAAAGCCTAAACCCCGAATCGCTAGGCAGCGTTTTCGGAAACCTTGTCCAATGCTGCAATCAACAAATCTGAGCTGAAAATCCCGAACCCTGACTGAACCCTTAGGGTTTAAACCCTCAACCCATCTGAACCGTCTCAACCCTGAACACCCTCAAGCCTTATGTCGTCCCTTTTGGCCCCAAACATCCCACTCAATTCCCTACACAGCCCAAGCGCCTGAAACGCTAAACCGAAACCCTAAATAAACCCTAAACCCCAGCCTCAAATCCTTTCCCCTAAACCTTAAACCCTAAACCATAGACCCTAAACCCCAAGCCCTAAACCCCAAACCCCAAACCCAAAACCCTAAACCCTAAACCCTAAACCCTGAATAAACCCTAAACCCCAAACCCTGAACACCCTTAACACCCTACCCTCCGTCGAGGACGGTTTCGGCGCAGACCTCAGCGCCGACCTCGTCTTCTGGCGAGAGCCCCAGCAGTTTAGGTTCAGGGTTTAGGGCTTAGGGTTAGGGTTTAGGGTGCGGGGTTTAGGGGGTTTAGGGTTTAGGAGGGTTTTGAGGGTGCAGGGTTCAGGGAGGGTTTTGGAGTAGTTTTGGGGGGTTGTTGGGGAGCTTTAGGCTCACGGTTGCCTCAAGGCTCAGATCTTGTTGTTTGGGGTGGCTGGTCGGTGGGTTTGAAGTTCAAGAAATCCTCAACCCTTAGCCCTCTCAACAAGGAAAGCAGCATGTATCCCCAGGTTGTAGCTCGCTTCCTTGATGTACTTGGTAGGTTTATAGGGTTCGTAAGCCCCACGAACCCTTAAGGACCCTTATAGTGGGTTGCAATTGTCATTAATATTGAGAACCGTTAGGCGCAGTATCCCGCGTGCCTTCAAGCGAAGCTGAGAAGATCCCGTCCCAAGACGGCTTTGCCTCTCCTGCAAAGGGAAGCGGGCCAACTCACTTTTGGTGGCGAGCGTGCGGAAGAAGCACTCACATCAAAGGCTGACCTGTGACCCTCATCCCTAAACCATAAATTTTAAACCCTAAACCCTAAACCCTAAACCCTAAACCCTAAACCCTAAACCCTAAACCCTAAACCCTAAACCCTAAACCCTGTTGGGAGGAGCTGGCCGAGGACCGGGCTGAGAGAGGCACCATCGGAGGGAAAGCTGTCGGCCTCGCAGAAGGGGAAGTGCTTTCGCACGCCTCTGTCTCTTTTGGGGGGTTTAGGGTTTAGGGTTTGGGGTTTAGGGTTGGGGGTTTAGGGTTTAGGGTTTAGTAATGGTTAGTAGGGAATGAGGGAATGAGGTACCCTATATAATCCCCTTTTCTTTTAAGTGTTTATATAGGGGTACCTCATTCCCTCATTCCCTACGAACCAACAGTAAGTCTTTGAACCGACGGGAGTCAATGAAGTAAGTATGGGGCAACGTACACCCACACAGGTTTTTTGGTGATTCGGATTTGGGTTTTGGAGTGGAGCACCGTACATTTACATTTACAAGCGGTATGATGGAAACAAGGGCTATAGAACTAGACCTCAACCCCTAAACCCTGAACCCTAACCTTAAATCCTACTAAACCCTAAACCCTAAACCCTAAACCCTAAACCCTAAACCCTAAACCCTAAACCCTAAACCCTAAACCCTAAACCTAACCCTAAACCCTAAACCCTAAACCCTAAACCCTAAACCCTAAACCCTAAACCCTAAACCCTAAACCCTAAACCCTAAACCCTAAACCCTAAACCCTAAACCCTAAACCCTAAGAGGTCCCACATTCTCGCATGCCTTGGCGGCTGGAGGCGCATCATTGCCTTTCTGCAGCTCCTGCGCAGCGCCAACGAGCGCCCCTCACAGGACGTCGAGACGTCTTGGGTTTAGGGTTTAGGGTTTAGGGTTTAGGGTTTAGGTTTTAGGGTTTAGTGTTTAGGGTTTAAGGTTTGTCTAAGGGTTGTCCGCCGACCCTGGCGGCGTGAGACCTCTCCTTGCCCGCAAAACGCAACGCAGGAGGGGGGGGGGTGGGGGGGGGGGGGGGTGGGGGGGGGGGGGGCCCCCCACACTGCATAAACTCACAAAGCATAGGCGGTTTCGCACAGGGTCCTTTGAAAAAAAAACCCACCCCCCCGCATCCCCCGACCCCAGCCCCCTCCCGCCCCCCCCCCTTACCCCCCCCTCCCTTTGCTGGGCTAAGTGATGCCCCCCCCCTACCCCCCAGGGTTTAGGGTTTAGGGTTTAGGGTTTAGGACATCTTGGGGGGGAGTTGGCCCCAAAACCCTGAACCCTAGCGTTAAGGCCAGATCCCTTCATCCCAAACGTTAGGGTTTAAGGGCCAGATCTCTTCAACCCTAAATTCCTGAACCCTGCGCCCGAAACTCCTTTCCTAGAGCCCGTGCTGACAAAACTTCGGAGGGCCCAAATCATGACAGAACATAGTATCTAGGGTCCTTAGTCTAAACCCTTAAACCCTAAAAGTTCCAAATCGGAAAGCCCTGAATTCCTAAACCTGACACCCTGACGCCTTGATTAAGGTGGTTGGTTTTGAAAGCCTCTTGCTCGCGTAGAGGAGACGCGCTTTGGGGAGCTGATGCCCCGCGGCCCCCGACTAAAGGACCGCCACTTTTGGGGTTGGGGGGGTGGGGGTTGGGTGGAGGGTGTAGGGTTTAGGGTTTAGGGTTTAGGGTTTAGGGTTTAGGGTGCGAGGGCCTAGGGTTCAGGGCTCAGGGGCATTTAAGCTTGCATTGTAAGGGGTTCAGGCTTCAGGGTCTAGATTTCGGGGGCTAGCTTGACAAGCCTCGGTCGCAAGTTGCCCAAAATGAGGAAGGCTTACCTGAACAGCCAACGAAGTCGGGGAACTGTAGCCGGCAACCCTACACCCCTAAATCCCAAATCCGGACTGCACCCATGTACTCTTGAATAAGGCACCCCTAGCTTCTCTCGCCTCGCAGCTGAAATTTTCTCGATCTCTATTTTTTTCCTCCATCCATTTAAATTTTGCCGGACTGCCCCGGCAACATACCTACAAGCGTGGAGGAGGGTGAGTTTGTCTTGGGCGGCATCGGCAAGTGCGATGCAGAGGCAGCTTAATTGATCTATAGTACTCTCGGTTTAGGGTTTAGGGTTTAGGGTTTAGGGTTTAGGGTTTGGGGCTTAGGGCTTAGGGCTTAAGGTGTTGGGGTCAGGGTTTAGGGCTTAGGGGCCAGGGCCTAGTCTTAAGGGTGAAGAATGAGAACGGGGGATAGGGGAAGCACCAGTGCAAGCCGCCAGGATGATGGCGCCTGCCTCCTAGGTCTCATTGGCCCTTACACACGTGAGACATGGGAGTGTGCGTGCTAGCAAATGCCATTGCCTTCCTTGCAGGTTTAGGGCTCAGGTTCGGGGCCCTAAGCCCTCCACCCCAAAACCCTAAAAATCCTCTGAGCCTTCTCTTAGCGAAGCCGCAGAGCCTCAGGCCGAGTACCGCCGATGGCGCGAGCAAGGGCCGAGCGCCACCAAAGCATTGGCCGCAGCGGCTTGGCTGAGGGTTTAGGGGTTTAGGGGTTCAGGGGTTTAGGGGTTTAGGGGTTTAGGGGTTTAGGGTTTAGGGCTTAGGGTTCAGGGCTTATAGGGCTGAGGGGGCTCGGATTGAGGATGTAGCATTTTTGGTGGGGGTGAAAGGCTCGAGCTTCTGGGCTGAGAGTGGCTTGAGGGTTGACGGTTTAGGGTTTAGGGTTTGGGGTTTAGGGTCTAGGGCTTAGGGGTTTAGGGTTCGGGGTTTGGGTTTAGGGTCTGGGGTTTAGGGAGCCTGCGACGCCAGACGGCCTAAAATCGAGATTCTCAAACCTCTTCACACCCCAGAGGCGAGACTTGCTTGTTTGATGGCTTGTCAAGGGATGAAGACCCGCACCCCCCAAGGCGAAAGGTTCCCCTTAGTAGACTCCCAAGATGGGCCCTTCTACGACCTTAAAGGATCTTAAAACGGATCAACCTTAACGGTCCAAGGTACGACCCCCAGAGCTTCTCCGAAAGTCAGGGGGTCCACAGGTTGAAGGTCGGTTCTATTGCATTCGGGGGTACCATGGGGTAACCCTACGTGAGCTCCCCTGGGCCCCGTTGTTGTGTTTTAGGGAGTTGGCTGTAAAGAAGCTGGAACCCTAAATTAAACTGGGTTTCTGGGTTCCGCAATCAAGGTTCAGGGTTTGGGGCTTGAGGCTTTTGATGTTGGGTATCAAGGGTCGGCGAGCGGGGGGGAAACTGGCTTGCAGCCTTCCAAAACTGCCGAAAACATTCCGCCTGTCTCCCAAACCGAGCAATAGCCTTGAACTAGTCTCTATCTATACATGGTTCCTAACCCTAAGCCCTAAGCCCTAAACCCCTGAACCCCAAACCCTCAACCAAAACACCCAAAATCAAGGTGCTCGAAGATGATGGCTTTGAGGCTCAGCACCCAGACCCTCAGGGCGTGAGGTATGTACCCAGAGGCTCTAGAAGTCCTAAACCTTGTAGGCCCTAAACCCTCAACCCTAAACCCTCATCCCTAAACCCTAAGTCCTAAGCCCTAAACCCGAAACCCTAAATCCTAAACTTGTCGTTTGTGACTTGGGGTTTCTAGGGCTGAAGGACCAGCATAGCGAGACCCACCGCCCACAGCCGCCTTGAAGTAAACGACTGAGGGCGATGTCGGGTCGGTTCAGGGTTCAGGCTTCAGTCCCTCCACCTATGTACTCCTTCAATCCTCAAAGCTCCAAGCCACCCCTAAAGTTTGTTCAGGGTTCAGGGTTCAGGGTTTAGGGTTTAGGGTTTAGGGTTCAGGGTTTAGGGTTCAGGGTTTAGGGTTAGCGTTTAACCCCTAAAGCTATCCTTGCGCTGTACGCAGGTCACGGCCTCATTCGCCCTCTTCCTCGCGCATGTGGACTTGGTACCCCTCGGCTCCCGGGCGATGATGCATGTGTTGGGCTTCGTGTCATTGCTGTTTAGGGTTTAGGGTTTAGGGTTTAGGGTTTAGGGTTTAGGGTTTAGGGTTTAGGGTTTAGGGTTTAGGGTTTAGGGTTTAGGGTTTAGGGTTTAGGGCCCAAAACCCTACACTATAAACCCTAAACTCAAGGCTTAGGCCTAGGCCTAACACCCTCAAGCCCAAACTCAAGGCTTCGGATGAAAGCTTGAGTTGTGGGCGCTCATGTGGCCCCTCCTGAAGTCCCTGTTTCTTGGGGAAAGGGATGTCGTGCCCCTAAACCCTTTAAGCCCCTATTTCCCTTATCCCCTAAACGTCTGAACCCCTAAATCCCTAAACGCTGGAACCTCGCACCCCCCTTATGAACCCGAAAGCTACACCCTGAAACCCTCAACCCTAAACCCTAAAACCCTGAAACCGTACTACCCTAGAGCCCTACAACCCTAAAACCCTAAGCCATAAGCCATAACACCCTCAAGCCCGAAACCCAAAACCCCAAAACACTAGAACACGAAAGCAAAACCCTAAACCCTAAGCCCCTAGCCCGAGGGTCGAAGAGATCTGAGGCTTTCGGCAGCGCTGCTTGCAGTCCGACATGGCGGACATGGTGAGCAGGCTGCCGAAGACAGGGCTCCGGAACTTCAAGTCGGCAAACAGGTAGGGTTTAGGGTTTAGGGTTTAGGGGGTTAGGGTTCAGGGTTTAGGGTTTAGGGTTTAGGGTTTAGGGTTTAGGGTTTAGGGTCTAGGGTTTTGGATTTAGGGTTCAGGGTCTAGGGTTTCGGATTTAGGGTTTATGGTTTAGGGTTTCGGATTTAGGGTTTAGGGTGTAGGGTTTCGGATTTAGGGTTTAGGGTTTAGGGCTTAGGCTTCAGGGTTTCAAGCTGCCAAGCCTCTGAGCCCAAAAGCTGTGACTCGCTTCGCCAGGGCCCGCCTCTTTCGGCGGCGGGTGGAACCGCTGCTCGGCGCGCGTCTAGTTGCGTTCCCCTAAACCCTAAACCCTAAACCCTAAACCCTAAACCCTAAACCCTAAACCCTAAACCCTAAACCCTAAACCCTAAACCCTAAACCCTCGGCACCAATTTCCTATGCTAGGTGCCAAAATCCCTATAGCACCCGGAGCCCGAAGATGCGCTTGGTTTGGAGTCTGAGTTCGGATCGCGTTCTTCAACCTGCAAGTTGTGGGTATTAAACAGGGTCTAGCGTTGTGGGTGTAGGGTTCAGGGCCAGGGCTAGAATCGCTGGCCACCGGAAGACCTACGGGACCGTAGGCACCCTAAACCCTAGACCCTAGACACTAGCCTAAACCCAAATTAAACCCCACTCACAGTAGACTACGTCTTAGGGCGTTAGAGTCTTGAGAAACCCGGCGCCTTCTCCCGGCCTGGAAACCTTGAGTCCAAAGCCTTCAAGCGCTCAGCGATTCAGGAAAGATTTACGGGTTAGGCTGTTTTAGGGTTTGGGGTTTAAGGGTTTAAGGGTTTAAGGGTTTAAGGGTTTAAGGGTTTAAGGGTTTAAGGGTTTAAGGGTTTAAGGGTTTAAGGGTTTAAGGGGTTAAGGGTTTAAGGGTTTAAGGGTTTAAGGGTTTAAGGGTTTAAGGGTTTAAGGGTTTAAGGGTTTAAGGGTTGAAGGGTTTAAGGGTTTAAGGGTTTTAGGGTTTTAGGGTTTTAGGGTTTTAGGGTTTTAGGGTTTTAGGGTTTAGGGTTTATAAGGGTTTAACGGTGTCCAAAGCCCCAAACCCTATAGCCCTCGCCGAGGCTCCTGGTGCGCGTCCCGCGCAGCCCAAGATCGGACTCTCGTCTGCGCTCAGCCTGTTTTCACGGTGTCTAGGGTCTACTTGAAGGTTCATGGTACTTACGAACCAATTATAACTGGGATAACCCCTATAAGGCCCTTTAGGGGTATTATAAGTAGGGTTATAAGTACAGCTATAATTGGTTGGTAAGTACCATGAACCTTCAAGTAGTGTTTGATGCACATGTGCCCTCCACCCCACCTGACCCCGCCCCGCCCCAAACCCGTATAACCATGTATACCCCCCAACCCAAGCGCTGACCCTGAGCCCGAGAGCCACCACGCCCTCAGCAACCTAAACCCACCATGAATCATTATCCCTGATCCCTAAACTGAACCGTAAAGCCACCACGAACCACAGGAACAAGAGGGGAAGCCCTAAACCTACACCTCAACCCTAAACCCTGAAACCAAAATGACCCTAAACTCTAAATCCCACCCTGAACCACGGAGAGCAGAATGAAAACCCAACACCAAACAGCCTAACAGGGTTTAGGGTTTAGGGATTAGGGTTTAGGGTTTGGGGACCCAAACCCACCATAACCGGAGAGACGCAAGGGGGGAGGGGGTGCGGGGTGCGGGGGGGAACAATGCTTGAAGCAAAGAAGGCGGAGGAGAAAACTCCCTTCAACATCTCAGATCAAGCAGTTGGTGGTCACGAAGTCAGTGACAGTCGCGGACCTTTCACCAAGGCGTGGCAAAGTTGATGAAAGTTACGAAGAAGGTTGCAAGGTCCTTGCAGCTGGAGAGCAGCAAAAATCTACACCACGGAGCATCCACGAAAAGCGCTGGGAGGTCTTGCGAAATTCGTTGGAGGCATCCGTGTGGCTGCTTCCTTAGGCGTCAGGGAATAAACCCTAAACCCCAAACCCTAAACCCTAAACCCTAAACCCCAGACCCTACAGCCTAGAAGTTTAGAGCCACCCGCCCCCCCCTGGCTGAAGCCTTCAAAGCGAAGGAGTTGCGGACCGCTGCTGTGCGTCTGGCGCCCAAGCCTTTGGGGCTTTCTAGGGGTTTAGGGTTATAGGGTTTAGGGGGTTTAGAGGGTTTAGAGGGTTTAGAGGGTTTAGAGGGTTTAGAGGGTTTAGGGGGTTTAGAAGGTTTAGAGGGTTTAGAGGGTTTAGAGGGTTTAGTTAGGTTTAGGGTTTATAAGTTTAGGGTTTAGGGTTTAGAAGTTTAGGGTTTAGGGTTTCTAAGTTTAGGATTCAGGAATCAGGGTTTAGGATTTTATAAGTTCAGGGTTTAGGGTTTGGACTTTGAGGTGCCGAGGCTCGGGCTTTTGAGTTTGTTTGTCGGACTTTAGCTGTTTCATTCTTGTTAAAGCCCAAGGAGCTATCGAAAGAAACCACTGCATTCCGTTGTGCTAGGGTTTGGCTTTAGGGTTTAGGGTTTAGGGTATAGTAAGAGCTGCAGAAGAGGGCTTCAGTCGTTTAGTTCTATACATTTCAACGTTCGAGGGCTATTAGGGCTTAAGTGCTTGTTTGTGGAAGGGCTTCAGAGAAGGCGTTAGTGGTTGTCGGGCACTCAGAATTCAGACACACCTTTCTGCAATGTGTTTAAGACCCAGCAGCCTTATGGCCAAGTCTACTGATGCAGACACTCCTGAATGTCCCGCGGCTGGGTTCGAGATCGACCAGACCAGTATGGAATTGGCCACGCCAGGGGTCAACATGATGCCCGTGCTGGAATGCAGGTCTTGGCCCCCAACGCGCGCCTGGAGGCGCGCCTGGAGTACATGGAGAGGCAGTTGCTGCCCGGAGTCTTCAATATCATCGCGAAGTTAGACCCTAAACCCTAAACCCTAAACCCTAAACCCTGAACCCTGAACCCTGGACCCTGAACCCTGAACCCTGAACCCTAAACCCTAAACCCTAAATCCTAAACCCTAAACCCTAAACCCTAAACCCTAAACCCTAAACCCTAACCCCTAAACCCTAAACCCTAACCCCTAAACCCTAAACCCTAAACCCTAAACCACCAAGTTCTGTGGACACATCCGCGATGCCAGTGCTGCTCAGATTGACCAGTGGCTCCCTGAAGGTGAGTGACAAATAAAGGTCACCAACCCTAAACCCTAAACCCTAAACCCTAAAAACGTGGTGGGTACTATAGTTTTCTAGAGGCTGTCCAGTCCTTAACAGCATCTAAAGCCCGAACCTCCAAACCCCAATTACTTTAAAAGCTAAGAGCCCCCAAAGGCCCAAACCTCCGAGCCCGCTAGCCCCAAACCCTAAACCCCTAAACTCTAAACCTCCCCCGACCTCAAATCCTAAACCCTAAACCTCAGGCCCTAAACCCCTAAACCATGAGCCCTAAACTCCTGAACCCTGAAACCCGAAAGCCTCCACGCAGCTCAGGTCAACTTGCCGATGCCGCAGCCCCACGCAAGCTGCTGGCAAAGTTCACCGGCGAGAGGCAGGGCGAAGGGTTTTTATTGTCGGGGTTTATAGGGTTTAGGGGGTTCAGGGACCCTAAACCCTAAACCCCAAACCCTAAACCCTAAACGCTCGACATTGAAGTCCTCGAACACTAGAACCCTTGCGCCTTCTAGGACTTCCACCACCCTGAGAATCCTTCAGTGACCTTATGACTTATAGCTACTATTTATTTGCGTAAGGCCCCCCCCCCCCCCCCAAAAAAAAAAAAAACATCACACACACACACACACACAACATAATGCTTATTAAAAAACGAAAAAAGTTCTTCCTTATGAGGGCAGTTTTTTCGTTATAGGAATGATTGTTTTGCATTTTGCGGGTTGCTAAGCAAACGGTAGACAAGACCCTACGACCCTACTTCAACTCAGACGAAAACGACCCCTGAGATCCTAAACCCTTAGACCCTGACATCCTAAGTTCCTACCTAAACTCAGACCTCCAGACTTAAAACCTGTTCGCCCCAAAAACCCTAAACCCTTAACCCCAAAACACACAGAAACAACAACCCCTGAACCCTAAAGCCTAAACCCTCAACCCTCAACCCTAACTGTAAAACCCAATGCCCTGACCCCTAAGATGCCCCAATATCAACAACCCTGCACCCTAAACCCTCAACCCTCAACCCTGAACCCTAAACCCTAAACCCTCAACCCTCAACCCTCAGACCATGACTGGTCCCAGGGGCTCGGGGCCTGGCGTGGCAAAGGAGTTCTTAGCCCTCGCGATGGAGGCTCTCGGGATATTTGTGGTTTAGGGTTTAGGGTTTGGGGTTTAGGGGTTTAGGGTTTTAGGATTTCGAGTTTAGGGTTTAGGGTATAGAGGTGCTTGGTGTTCTTTGCAGGGCTTGCTAGGGCATGTAGGGGCACTGTAAGCGTCTGAAGGGGAATTTTCGCCCTAAACCCAAACCGCTCAACCGTAAACCTTTGGGGTGACCTTTGATAGATGTCTGTGGCGAAGCTGGGCAGTGATACCGCTATCTTAACCTCGGTGTGTAGGGTTTTCCTAGACCCCCAAAGTATGTAACAAATAGCCCCGAAGCCGTAAAAGGGGCCATTGTTTTTTGCACATTTTGGGGGGGTTTAGGTGGGTTTCGGGTTTAGGGTTTAGGGTTTAGGGTTTAGGGGTTTCTTTCCTCAAGGGCGGCGACGGAAGCTTGGACATAGACCAAGAGTACGCTGACGGAGACGTTGCCCAGGACTCCTTGAGGCACCCTGAGTTCCAAAACCCCAAAGGGTTTAGGGTTTAGGGTTTAGGGTTTAGGGTTTAGGGTTTAGGAACCCTACACCTGGGATTCGTTGGGCGCGTGGCTGTCGGAGGTGCTTGGGTGTGGGGGTTTAGGATATAGGCATGTAGGGTTTAGGGGCTGGGCAATTTGGAAGATAAAAACGAGTGCTGTGCCAGGGGCGGTATATTCCTACAATATGCCTACCGGCGTTCCCCTTTGCGGCTGAGCAAGTTGAATTCGCTCGCGCTTATATTGTGGAGACCCACACACACTGGACCCTGAATCTCCCTTCTTCATGGGTTTGGGGCAGTAGGAGGGGTTAGTGTTCAGGGATTGTGGTTTAGGGGTGTCAAACGGTTCCACACTGCAGATGTGGGGCCGTCAGTTGCAAATTGCACGGGGCCTAAACCCTAAACCCTAAACCCTAAACCCTAAACCCTAAACCCTAAACCCTAAACCCTAAACCCCAAACCCCAAACACCAAACACGAAGCCCGAGTCCTGGCCAATGGTGTCAAGTGCAGGCCGTGCTCTCCGCAAAGACCGGCGAGGGTTACGAGGACCATGAAGTCTAGGCTTTAGGGTTTAGGGTTTAGGGTGTAGGGTTTAGGGTTTAGGGTTTAGGGTTTAGGGTTTAGGGTTTAGGGTTTAGGGTTTAGGGTTTAGGGTTTAGGGTTTAGGGTTTAGGGTTTATAAGGTTTAGGGTTTAGGGTTTAGGGTTTAGGGCTTGAGGGTTTACAAGGAGGGACCCCTAGAAGCAGAAGAAGAAGAAGAAGGGACCCCCAGCCTGATTCCCCCATATAAACCCTGTATATGCCTTATATAGTCCCTAATAGTAATAGTAATAGTAATAGTAATCGTAATAGTAATAGTAATAGTAATTGTAATTGTAATAGTAATAGTAATGTTAATAGTAATAGTATTAGTAACAGTAATAGTAATAGTAATAGTAATAGTAATAGTAATAGTAATAGTAATAGTAATAATATACCTAAGAGCCCTTAAAACAGCCCCGAAGCAGTGACTACGACCCAAAGGCGGCGCTTGTTCCCTTCTTGTAGGGTTTAGGGTTTAGGGCCCTATAACATGGCCGCACGTGCGCAAACCCCCTAAACGCCCTAGAATACCTACAAGCCCTATGAAGCTCACGACCTGGAACCTGCGAAGCGCCCAGACCTAGGGTTTAGGGGGTTTCGGGGGTTTCGGGGGATTGAATTCGGGGGTTTTGGGGGTTTTGGGGGTTTTGGGGGTTTTGGGGGTTTTGGGGGTTTTGGGGGTTTTGGGGGTTTTGGGGGTTTTGGGTTTAGGGTTTTGGGTTTAGGGTTTAGGGTTTGGGAACCCACCCCACCCCCACCCAGCCCCACGCAGGAGGGTGAGCCAGCCTTCGTCTACGACGCCGACTCCAGGAGCTAGCGCTGCAGAGGTGTGTTTAGGGTTTAGGGTTTAGGTTTTAGGGTTTAGGTTTTAGGGTTTAGGGCCTAGAGTTTA